ACACATGTCATCGGTTCCCAATTGCGCAGATCGATGCTCATGTTGTTGATCACTGGATTGTCTGGTCGATTATTTACAGTCCTCGCCGCCATATAGCTGGAATATTGCTGAGTGTGGCGTAAAACTAAACTCACTCACTCACTCAAAGATGATGACTGGCCATGTACTTGCCACAGGTATCAAGTGGCAGGATTTGCAAAATCAAAACTTCGGCTCTAACTTTATCATGAGCATGTGTTTATGAATCAGTAATCTGATGAATACCAGCTGAATGGACCCAAAATGAATAGAGTGAGTGATTGAGTTTAGTTTAGTTTAGGTTTACGCCGCTTTTAGCAATATTCCAGCAATATCACGGCGGGGGACACCAGAAATGGGTTTCACACATTGTGCCCACCGCCCCACATACAAATAAAGATGTGTGTGCTGTTGAAGTCATCTTGCCATAGACAATGACACAAGCGTGTTTTCAAAAACTTTCATTTTTGACGGAAGCATCTTTCACAACATTGACTGACTTTGAGAAAAAAAACTATCGCAACATATATCAAGTTAAATGACATGTACATTAATACCGCCTCGGGACAACAAACTACTAAGTGATGTTTATAGATGCCGTGACATCCTGACCTTCACATATCAACCAACACAATTGCTCAGGTCAAAAAGGTCAGTCATAGAATATCCTGTTGTGTCTTCAGGTCTTCCTCGGGAACACATCCAAGCCAACTCTGACCATGCCATCCTATGGAACAACATCGACATCCTAGAAATCAACAGAGCAGACTACAAGATTAATATTCCTAGAAGCCATAAAAATCCAACGCTTCAACCCCACCATGAATCGTGATCAAGGTTATTTCATCTCCTCGGCCTTCAACCACCTAATCAAACACAACCGCCAGTAATCCATTTATATCTCCCTTGTCCATCTGGGGGGCGGTGGGGTAGCCTAGTGGTTAAAGCGTTCGCTCGTCACGCCGGTACGTGGGTACAATGTGTGACGCCCATTTCTGGTGTCCCCCGCCGTGATATTGCTGTAACATTGCTAAAAGCGACTTAAAACCCAACTCACTCACTCACTTGTCCATCTGGCTTCATGCTTCCCTTTGTGTATTTGTAATCCGAACTAATCACAGTGTACTTCAACCCACTTACCACTACCAACTCATTGTACATGAACTCATCAGTTGTATGATTACACACACAATGCCATTTAGAAAGTGGACAAATGTAACATATGTTATATTTGGGATTACACTTTCTTAGTAAAGTACAAATCCTAGTACTATTTTTGGGTTGAGCCCCATCCGGGATTCGAACCCACACTCTCAGAGTCAGGCACCTATTCGCCAACACACACTCACCAGTTGTATACATTAAACTCAACCTCTAAAAATCACAGTCAATCACTCTGTAATCAACCTAATCTACTCACATCACTTATTATATATCTAATGTACATCAACCTTGTTAATTGTAAACACACACTATGCAGCAATGTATATATTCTCCTTGTTCCAACTCTGTGTATCACCTGCTTGATAGCGGTGCTAGTACCTACACCGAAACGTCGCACTCATTGCAATAACGAAGTTGACTATCCATAGAACTTGTTTTTCCTTCCTCGGGACATTTTATGAAACCACTGCGTTTGAAATGAAATAAAGATCACCTTGACGTTTATATAAATGCTCTGTATATTTGATATGATGGAATTAAGAAAAAGTATAATAATGTTTACAAAACCCTTTCCAAAATAGGACCTAACGCGAGAGAAGGTAACCTTTAACTTTACTGACAAATGCGTCCTTACATTGAGCTCGTGGCCGTGACCTTTTTTACCAACGAATTCCAATATTTTAGGAATCTGATAACAAAATCGCGCACCCGAAACACGAGATTGGGCCGACATAAAAAAACAACTTGACTCTCCACTCAACATTATACTTTGTGAATATAAATTCAAAGTATATAAAATTTTAAATGTCTATCAATGAGTGTAAATGATTAAATACATAACCAAATATAAATATACCTATCTTAAGAAGTTAACAAACACCAAATTGTGTTACTGTAGTTTGTTATGTTGTAGTAGATAAGCAATAGTAATATTAACAAACTGGCCATGGGTTTTCTTTAATTCTTATGAATAGACGAGTATATATCGTATAAAGGTGACAGGGGCGGTGGGGTAGTCTAGTGGTTAAAGCGTTGGCTCGTCACGCCGAAGACCCGGGTTCGAATCCCAACATGGGTACAATGAGTGAACCCCATTTCTGGTGTCCCCCGCCGTGATATTGCTGGAATATTGCTAAAAGCGGCGTAAAACCAAACTCAGTCAGTCAGTCAGTATAAAGGTGACAGAAACATTTCAATGATTATGATGCGGAACGACAACGTCAGCGTATATAATCATTCTCCGACGACACAGATTCAAATCGGCTTAAAAGGCAACATGGCTTTGAAAATTACATGAAAGAATAGCTGAAAACAAGCTGCTCTCGAGAAGGCTAAGCATGCCCTGCCTTACCGATAGCCCCACCACTCATACAATTAGCATAAACATTAAGTGAAATGTCTACTAAAACTACCTTTTACGATTCCCATAGTCTGTCGTACAGACCCTGAAGCAAATATATCCAAGAAAGCCCACGCAAATCTGGAAAATATGGCAAGTCTAGCCTGAAAATGAAGAATGTCTCAGGGCTCCTTTTCATTATATTTTTTTTTTTTCACTATGAACTTTTTTCATTAAAATATGTTCATTTCAGAGACTAGTTGTTAGTCTACGATTACCACAACGTAACCTTCTCTTAAACTTGGGGTAATCAATTTTCTGAAAACCATATAATTATGATGGTGTCGCAAATCTTCAGACAACCAACACCGACAACCAACAGCGACAACGAACTGCGACATGTTGCCAGACTTGACTTCAATGCTGTCTGTACATATTGTAGAACTTGGAATCTTTCATCTTTTCATCGTAGACACGGTTGAAATATTCACTCAGCTCTGCAGAAAAGTTGTCCTTCCATGATCCGATCTTTCCTAAATTGAGAATCACGTCATTATAAGTCAATGGACAAACCTTTACGTAAGACACAATTGTTTGTTTGTTTGTTGTTTAACATGTTTACGGGACTAGTACCAAACCAGGGAAGATCCTCAGCAACCCATGCTTGTAACCCGAAGAAATCCGTGTTAGAATTGGTCTTCAGCAACCTATGCTTGTCGTAAGAAGCGACTAAAGGTATCGATTGGTCAGTCTCGCTGACCTGACACATGTCATCGTATCCCAGTTGCATAGATTGATGCTCATGATGTTGATCACTGGGTTGTCTGGTCCAGACTCGATTGTTTACAGAACGCTGCTATATAGACGGAATATTGCTGATTCAGACGTTAAACAACAAACAAACAATAACATTTTTTAAGCAATCACTTTTAGGTTACAATTCAATATGTGATGTACTGAAGCAAATGAGTTGTTGCTTGAAGTTATCTGGAGTCTTTGGTCACTACCCGATGAAGTAAAGGCTCTCGGCCCTAATAATACCAGCACCTGGATTGCCATATTTCCTTTACATCGTGATTTTAATTATTAATCCTGTAGTCGTGTTTTGAGATTCCAAGCACTTCTTCCCCATCCTTTTTTTAATTAAATAAAAAACCTATGATTTAAAGGATCGGTTGGTCCGACCAGGTTACTTGTTGTGTCATGTACCATGCTGTTGTTCACACTATCAATCACATGTTTATTTAGTCGATTCCTTCTTTGGAACTGGAATCATCCGAACGTTTTCCAAAATCACCAACTTGGTACTGTGTTGAAAACAAACAGCCATAAACGACACAGCAGTGATAGAGTAGGGATATACATTAGGCTGTTATTGCCTGGAGGCGTAGTGTTACGGATTATTGAGGTTACAGTTTATAATACCTTGAACAAAATGTACGCTCTTCCCCTCCAGCTTCTTTGTAACGGAGTGCTTGTCTCGTATCATGTTGTCAAGGCTACACTTCTCCACGACTCGTCTCCGAAACGTGTCATCCGTTTTCGTGTTGAGAAATTCGTCGATTCGTTCAATTTCTCGAACTGGTTGCTTTAACCATGAAAATTGTGAAAACAAAACATCAGCCCCAGAGGTTAATCAAACCCAACTACCTGATTCTATTTGGCTTTAAAGGAGTGAGTGAGTAATTTGGGTGGTTCCAGCAGTATTCCGGCAATATCACCCGGGGAGACACCAGACTGACTGACTCACTGAGTTTAGTTTTACGCCGCTTTTAGCAATATTCCAGCAACATCACGGCGGGGACACCAGAAATGAGCTTGACACGTTGTGCCCATGTGGGGATTCGAACCGGTCTTCGGCGTGACGAGCCAACGCTTTAACCACTAGGCTACCCCACCGCCCCGGGAGACACCAGAGCCTCACACAATGGTCCCATTTGAGTGAACACTATATTCACTAAACAGCACCCAAGGGTTTCCAGCACCGCAATCAGCAATAGTCCAGCTACATGACAGTGGTCTGTAAATAGTGGAATCTGGTCAAGACAAACCAGTGGTCAACATCATGAGCATCGATTTAAGCATTTGTGATATGATGGAATTAAGAAAAGTATAATAATGTTTACAAAACCCTTTCCAAAATAGGACCCAACGCGAGAGAAGGTAACCTTTAACTTTACTGACAAATGCGTCCTTACATTGACCTCGTGGCCGTGACCTTTGTTACCAACGAATTCCAATATTTTAGGAATCTGATAACAAAATCGCACACCCGAAACACGAGATTGGGCCGACAGAAAAAAAACACTTGACTCTCCACTCAACATTATACTTTGCGAATATAAATTCAAAGTATATAAAATAAATTTTAAATGTCTGATAAGTATACTTTTCAAATGAAGTTAACAAACACCAAATTGTGTTACTATAGTTTGTTATGTTGTAGTAGATAAGCAATAGTAATATTAACAAACTGGCCATGGGTTTTCTTTAATTCTTATGAATAGACGAGTATATATTGTATTAAGGTGACAAAAACATTTCAATGATTATGATGCGGAACGACAACGTCAGCATATATAATCATTCTCCGACGACACAGATTCAAATCGGCTTAAAAGGCGACATGGCTTTGAAAATTACATGAAAGAATAGCTGAAAACAAGCTGCTCTCGAGAAGGCTAAACATGCCCTGCCTTACCGGTAGCCCCACCACTCATACAATTAGCATAAACATTAAGTGAAATGACTACTTAAAGTACCTTTTACGATTCCCACAACGTAACCGTTTTTTAAACTTTGGGTAATCAATTTTCTGAAAATCATATAATTATGATGGTGTCACCAATCCTCAGATAACCAACAGCGACAACCAACAGCGACAACGAACTGCGACATGTTGCCAGACTTGACTTCAATGCTGTCTGTACATATTGTAGAACTTGGAATCTTTCATCTTTTCATCGTAGACACGGTTGAAATATTCACTCAGCTCTGCAGAAAAGTTGTCCTTCCATGATCCGATCTTTCCTAAATTGAGAATCACGTCATTATAAGTCAATGGACAAACCTTTACGTAAGACACAATTGTTTGTTTGTTTGTTGTTTAACATGTTTACGGGACTAGTACCAAACCAGGAAGATCCTCAGCAACCCATGCTTGTAACCCGAAGAAATCCATGTTAGAATTGGTCTTCAGCAACCTATGCTTGTCGTAAGAAGCGACTAAAGGTATCGATTGGTCAGTCTCGCTGACCTGACACATGTCATCGTATCCCAGTTGCATAGATTGATGCTCATGATGTTGATCACTGGGTTGTCTGGTCCAGACTCGATTATTTACAGAACGCTGCTATATAGACGGAATATTGCTGATTCAGACGTTAAACAACAAACAAACAATAACATTTTTTAAGCAATCACTTTTAGGTTACAATTCAATATGTGATGTACTGAAGCAAATGAGTTGTTGCTTGAAGTTATCTGGAGTCTTTGGTCACTACCCGATGAAGTAAAGGCTCTCGGCCCTTAATACCAGCACCTGGATTGCCATATTTCCTTTACATCGTGATTTTAATTATTAATCCTGTAGTCGTGTTTTGAGATTCCAAGCACTTCTTCCCCATCCTTTTTTTAATTAAATAAAAAACCTATGATTTAAAGGATCGGTTGGTCCGACCAGGTTACTTGTTGTGTCATGTACCATGCTGTTGTTCACACTATCAATCACATGTTTATTTAGTCGATTCCTTCTTTGGAACTGGAATCATCCGAACGTTTTCCAAAATCACCAACTTGGTACTGTGTTGAAAACAAACAGCCATAAACGACACAGCAGTGATAGAGTAGGGATATACATTAGGCTGTTATTGCCTGGAGGCGTAGTGTTACGGATTATTGAGGTTACAGTTTATAATACCTTGAACAAAATGTACGCTCTTCCCCTCCAGCTTCTTTGTAACGGAGTGCTTGTCTCGTATCATGTTGTCAAGGCTACACTTCTCCACGACTCGTCTCCGAAACGTGTCATCCGTTTTCGTGTTGAGAAATTCGTCGATTCGTTCAATTTCTCGAACTGGTTGCTTTAACCATGAAAATTGTGAAAACAAAACATCAGCCCCAGAGGTTAATCAAACCCAACTACCTGATTCTATTTGGCTTTAAAGGAGTGAGTGAGTAATTTGGGTGGTTCCAGCAGTATTCCGGCAATATCACCCGGGGAGACACCAGACTGACTGACTCACTGAGTTTAGTTTTACGCCGCTTTTAGCAATATTCCAGCAACATCACGGCGGGGGACACCAGAAATGAGCTTGACACGTTGTGCCCATGTGGGGATTCGAACCCGGGTCTTCGGCGTGACGAGCCAACGCTTTAACCACTAGGCTACCCCACCGCCCCCGGGAGACACCAGAGCCTCACACAATGGTCCCATTTGAGTGAACACTATATTCACTAAACAGCACCCAAGGGTTTCCAGCACCGCAATCAGCAATAGTCCAGCTACATGACAGTGGTCTGTAAATAGTGGAATCTGGTCAAGACAAACCAGTGGTCAACATCATGAGCATCGATTTAAGCATTTGTGATACGATGACATGTGTTGACCAAGTCAGCGAGCCTGACCACCCGATCCCGTTAGTCGCTTCTTACGACAAGCATGGGTTACTGAAGATCATCACAAGTACGTGAAATACTGCTGACATCAGGATAGAAAGAACATTCGCTCACTCACTCACTTACTGTCACAAGATCCTCAAAGCGGACCACTAAAATCGACGAGGAGTGCTGAGGATTGGCCATTGCCTTCTCCCAGTTTGTCACGTGATCGAACCAGGTGCCCCATTCAACTGTTAATGGAATTGTGGCGTTAGCTATAAACATATACAATTCAACTTTTCATAGGGGAAATCGGAAATACCACGTGACATTATATGTGAATACGTGAATATACACATGATTTTGTATGATAATCAGATTTGTGTATCAAGGTGAGGTAAATATTATATCCCTGTCAAAATTTGCACTGTACCAATTACAAGTGGCCGACCTGCACACAAAACATGTGTCGTCCATGACACAATCGAGGCTAATGCTGGATTCAAAGCCACAAACTGGGGTTCTTAGGGACTCTGAACATTCTCTCAAATTCTTCACCTGCATAAATCACACATATAGCAACACTATTACACACATATAGCAACACTATTACACACATATAGCAACACTATTACACACATATAGCAACACTATTACACAAATATAGCAACACTATTACACACATATAGCAACACTATTAACACTATTACACACATATAACAACACTATTACACAAATATAGCAACACTATTACACACATATAGCAACACTATTACACACATATAGCAACACTATTACACACATATAGCAACACTATTACACACATATAGCAACACTATTACACACATATAGCAACACTATTACACACATATAGCAACACTATTACACACATATAGCAACACTATTACACACATATAGCAACACTATTACACACATATACAACACTACACATATAACAACACTATTACACACATATAGCAACACTATTACACACATATAGCAACACTATTACACACATATAGCAACACTATTACACACATATAGCAACACTATTACACACATATAGCAACACTATTACACAACATATAGCAACACTATTACACACATATAGCAACACTATTACACACATATAGCAACACTATTACACACATTAAGCAACACTATTACACACATATAGCAACACTATTACACACATATAGCAACACTATTACACACATATAGCAACACTATTACACAAATATAGCAACACTATTACACACATTAAGCAACACTATTACACACATATAGCAACACTATTACACATTAAGCAACACTATTACACACATATAGCAACACTATTACACACATATAGCAACACTATTACACACATATAGCAACACTATTACACACATATAGCAACACTATTACACACATATAGCAACACAGATACATTCCAACAGTAGCACTGTCACACCGAAACGGCAACATTATGGCAGAAACAAAGTAACATGAACACACACAAACAACAACATCGAGACACACAAAAAGCACAATATCATCACAAAAGGCACACACAAGTCACATAGCAACAAACACATACAACACACGCGGAACACATAGTCCAACACAGACACAGCGACACAAACGGGAACACATACAGGAACATACACAGGAACACATGCAACAACACATTTAGGAACACATACAGTAAGACACACAGGAAAGCATACAACAGAACACACAGGAACACATGTAACAGTTCACACAAGAACACATCTAGCAACACATACAGGAACGTACACACATACGTTTGCCATTTAGGAATAACTTCATCCAAGCAGCAAAAGGACATATTTCAACCTTCTCTCTGCACCGAAAATACTTTTTAATCAGCTGATACCAAGAGCAGGCGACATCACGTGGGTCCCTCAAAACATAAACAATTTTCAACTTTTTTTCCAGTGCCGCTTTTGGGAGAAGTTCAAAATGCATGTGTCCATTGAGAACACGGGGTAAAGGAAGATGTGCAAGCTTCTCATTGGATGTTTGCTCGATGTGAAAGTCTTCCTTCTTGTAAGGTATCGTGTCGTCACACTTCCTCAACAGCATGTTGATGACTTCAAAACACCAGTGAGTCCCTGCCAAACAGAAGAAGGTGGTAAACATGTTTTCTTCAGACTGTGGAAAGAAAACATTGTCTTCATATTTTAAAAAAGTTATCCTGGAAACCATACGTTTGTGAAGCGGAGCAGGGACACTTCTGAAGCGGCTGATCACATATATAAGTATGTGTTCAGCTCGAGAGGAACTCACACTTTCTACCATGAGGGAAATTGAGTGAGTGAGTGAGTTAAGCTTTATGCCACACTCAGCAATATTCCAGCTATATGGCGGCAGTCTGTAAAATAATCGTGTCTGGACCAGACAATCCAGTGATCAAAAGCATGAGCATCGATCTGCGCAACTGGGGACCGATGACATGTGTCAACCAGGTCAGCGAGCAAGACCACCCGATACGTTAGTCGCCTTTTATGACAAGCATGGGTTACTGAAGGGGAATTGAAATCTACCTTTGGGTTGATGCCAGAACGGTTACGCAACTTCTTCCTTAACACCAGTTATTATATTAATAAAGGACACACATTAGTACAAGGTGTTATTTACCAGATCGCATATATCCACACAACATTACGTCATCATCGTTCATGTCCACATCCATCATGTTCCGGATGACCTCTTCATCAAAGACGTATGGGTAGCGAACGCCGTTTACTTCCAGTATTGGGTATTTCGTTTGCGGGTCATTCTCGGGTGACACGTATATAATTGGCATGATGGTAGAATGCTCAAGTATCAATTGTGATGCAAATCAAGAAAAATGTCCAATCTGCAAATAAGAACATATGTCCCTATTAATATTTTGTTTACCATTCTATAAACACGATTTTTTCTCGTCTACTGCTTCAACACAAGATGCGCAGATAGTGTATTCAGTACAATGGCCATAAATACAAATGTTTGATTGGATGAATTACATTTGAATGAAGTGACTGCCTGAGTTTCTCTGGGCTGTTTGACTTTACATGAATCTGAACATGTGACATATACAGCATCTGACTTCAGATGACAGTGTTAGGTAAAGCTGTTACAGTTTGAGACTTGCTTTCCAGTTTATTATAATTACGTTTCAGAGATGATCTATACTCACAAACAAGCAATACATTAAAAACATCTTTATGAGGTCAGTCATAGTTCTTTCATGTGTGCTTCAAGTTTTATCAGGTCTTTGAAAGGTATTTAGAAATAACACACATAAGGTAGAGAGTTTTGTGGATGTCAACGTGTATGTTATGAGGAACATAACGTTTCGGAGTACATCCTTACTCCTTCATCACGTGAATAATGATGAAAGAGTAAGTTTATACTAACGAAACACCCCGGGTATCTGAGACATGTTACCCTGGGTAACTGGGACATGTTACTGTGGATGCCGGGCGCTTGTTACCCTGGATGCTAAAGGTACAAGAAACATTTAGCAGTTGCAAAACTTCCAAGCCGTATTAATAACTTACAGCTGATAGGATCGCCCGACGCCAGTCTGTTCTGTGAGCCTGCTACGACCGAACTAGTTTCAGCTAGTGCATTAAGATCAGGACTTGATTCAGTCTTCACAAGGAATAGTTTCTGACATACATTATCACGTGTCTTGTTCCGATCACGGGCTTTTAATCTTCGCAGCAAAGTATTTGTCTCGCTCCATATGCATCTGTCATGTTGTATAACTGACCTTCCAGGACATCGTCATTATCATTGAAATACTCTTACTATAAATAGCAACCTAGTCTACTTGACGCACTGCATGCTTTCTCAAATGCCCAAGGTCTGTGGCAGATTAAGGATACTGTTGTAACTGCCGACTTGGTGTTGGTAGACCCTACAACAGACACATATTAATATGGAGGTTCTGGGGATCTGGGGAGATGTAGGCTCAAGCTCTACACTCGCTTGGTGGGCTGGGGAATGTTAAGTCAAGGAGTGAGGGGTCGGACGACCGTGACTCCTAACATCATTGCATTCATGTACTGGCGCACATTCATACAGCAATTACATCAACACCAGGTTCCATACTCACATAGGTTTACTCAATCCCTCTCTTCATTACAAGGTGACTGGGACTGGACAGGACAGGCGTCTTTACCAAACATGGAACTGCGGCTATCGAGATGCGAACGTTCTTCTGACTTTGAAACTCGCACAGCTTTGCAAGTGCTTACGGTATCATTTTAACCCTTGTCCTGCTACCGGGGGCCTGAGGGCTATGTTTCCATGTACTCCTCCCACTTAAGGTCTTAAACACATCAGTTCATTTTAGAAACAACAATTTATAAAAAACGAATAAAGATTATTAATTTACAATCTACATACACTAACTGTTATCATGGCCCTCAAAGGCCCAGTCATACCCCATCGATATATCAATTTAGCTATAACCTTGTCTATGTGGGTATGGCAACATATACTCTGAGGCAGTCACTATGAAGCCGCAGGAGAGGAAAAGCGGTACTTTGGGCCAATATTTAGCACATCTACAAAAGGATGATGCTCATGGTATATGCAAATTTCCGAAGACAGTTGTTCCGACAGTTACTATGTACAAAATTATTCTAATGTTGAATCAACGTCTTTTGACGGTGAAGATTCTGTGTCTGATTAAGAAACTGCGGATCAAGAAGCCTTTTTAACAAGCAAAGATGGCAGCATCTGGTCTTTCAATCCACCACGACATGGACATGTTGCACAGACAAACATTTTGTAAGGGCCACTGCAGAAAGTTGTCAACGTGGATCATGTGGCAAATGAAGTGGATATGTTTCAGCTGTATATTTCAGAGGAAATGGTAAATGACATTGTTACATTTACAAACGCTAAAGGAAAGAAAAGTGCTAGAGATAAAGGAAAGCCAGAAACTGCATGGAAAGTTACAGATGTTGATGAAATGTATGCCTTTTTGGGATTCTAATCACACGTGACCAGAAGAGAGTTACGCTTGGACTGGACGCAAAGGCTGTGGTATGAGCACGGTTCCAGAAATGTTCGTGGTATGTTCGATGGGATCAGGCAGTTAGACCTGAAGCCAAAGAAACTGCAACACCCTCTGAAGTCTGCGTTCAGCTGAAGTCTGCAAAAGGTGAGACAATCACCGACCGTGATCAACAGATAAAGCGATGGGTCGAACACTACTAAGAGCAGTGCTGCAGCCGCTGTACGACCTTCTTTGCCTGTGCTGGAGGGAAGGTGCAGTCCCCTAAGACATACGTGATGCCGCCACTGTGACTCTCTGCAAGAACAACGGCGACCGCAGTGACTGCAACAACTACAGAGGGATCACCCTCCTGAGCATAGTCGTGAAGGTATTCGCCCGATCCTCCTCCACACACTAACTTCTCAAGTCCCAATGCGTCTTCAGGGCAAGCCGGTATTTTCTCAGTGCGCCAGCTTCAGGAGAAGTGCAAGAGCAGAGCAAGCCACTGTATCTGTAATTCATCGATCTAACAATGGCTTTTGACCTTGTCAGCACAAAGGGCCGGGCCTCTTCCGCCTCCTGGAGAAGATGGGCTGTCCTCCTCGGCTGCGCAGCATGGTGATTTCCTTCCACGAGGACATGAAGAGCACAGTATTTACGACGGGTCTTGCTCATCTGCCTTCTCCATCTCCTCACACACTGAAGATTTCCTGCAGAGACTCATGGACAGGGTCGTTATGCCTGCAAAGAATTTGGACTCACGATCAGTCTGAAGAAGACCAACTTCAGCGCACAGGATGCAAGCCACGCACCCTCTATCAGCATCAGTGACTACACCCTTGAAGTGACAGAGGAATTCATGTACCTTGGGTCGACCATCGCTACCAGCCTGTCACTTGACATAGAGATCAACCGGCGGATAGGAAACCGTGGCCAAGCTGTCCAAAAGGGTGTGGGACAACAAGAAGCTCACAGAGAATACCAAGATGCGTGTCTATCCCCAGCACTCTCCTGTACAGCAGCGAAACATGGATCACCTATGCGAGGCAAAATCGCCGTCTGAACACCTTCCACATGTGCTGCCTCAAACGCATTCTGGGCATCACCTGGCAGGACCGAGTACCACCAAGCGACATCCTGGCCAGGGCTGGAATCCCAAACATTGTTCGCCATGCTGAGTTAGAGACGTCCACGCTAGCTTGGTCATGTAAGGTGCATGGAAGATTCCCAAGAACCTACTCTACGGCCAATTTGCCACTGGTACCAGACACACAGGACGCCCAACTCTCAGGATCAATGTTGTGTGCAAACGTGACAAGAAAGTGAGCAACATGGAACCTGATGCCTGGGAAACAGCTGCCGACGACCGCGACTGCTGGCGTCAAATGGTGCAGAGTGGAATCAGACAAGCAGAGGAGGAGGGAACCCAGCAGGCAGCAGAGAAACGAGCACGCCTTTCCAGTGGTCCTGCTTCGTCTGCACTAACTGCAACATAGACATCTAACATTCACTCCAGAATTGGGTTGTACAGCCACACCAGGCGCTGTTCACAACCCTAGGAGAAACCTCACGTGGCGCATCAAGCTTTGTCCTCCGGGACTGCACTGTCAACGATCACATGTGGTCACTTAAAGCAAAACATGATTGATACTTCTGTGTTGTGGTCAAGGAATATGGAATGTTGATAACAAGGAAACAAAATCAGTCCGAAAACAGAAGGATACATTTGCAGCAGTCCGTGACATGGAAAATGTTTGAATGTTCTTTGCGACGGTAACCTGAAATTGGTAATAATATTGAAAAAAGAAATTTCATAAATGTGATACATGACATTTTATAGTATTCAGAAATCGTAAAAATTTAGAAAACTAGAAAACATAATTTATCAATAAAACTTAACTGTGATTAATACACACTTGCTGTTAAGCTCTAATTGTTGACTTGAGTGTCTGCATTGTTTCTTCTCTCTGTGAACTAGCAATTACTGTACATAGGGCCTTGTGCAAAGAATGCCCTTATCACACGTCCTGACACAACATTTCTGATTCATTTATAGTTACATCATTCCATGGTCTCAAGTCGTATTTCGTGATCGGAGTATTATTGTAAACTACCCATCGGTGATTCACCGTTAACTAATGCTTTAAGGATTCTGTTAACCTTATAGCAATGCTGTGGAGGTGTTTCAGATAAGAATGTAATCATTTAAACAAGCAGGTGGCATAACACCACGCTACGTTCTGGATAATGACAGAAGGGTCATCGCAACACTTTCATCGCAATTTGTCATTTTTTTCATTGCTGTAGTAAGTTCACATGGCACATTGCTGAAGTCAAGATGTGAACAAAAGCTATTTTGATAAAAGACTGTGTCGATGGTTTAAAGGGTAGGAGCGCACCTGCACTATATTTCTGTATTGACAGCTTAAAGCTAGTTGTGCACCAGTAAAATATTTCTGTGTTGCGGGTTTAAAGCTAGGGGAGCACCTGCACCATATTTCTGTGTTGTAGGCTAAAAAGGCTGGGGGCACACCTCCACCATATTGCTGTGCTGACTGCCTAACGGTAGGGGCGCATCTGCACTATAGGTCTGTTTGGACGGCTTAAAGCTAGTGGTGCACCAGTAAAATACTTCTGTGTTGTGGCCTTAAAGCCAGGGTCGCTCCTGCACTACATTTCTGTGTTGCGGGCTTAAAGCTCGTGGCGCACCTGTACCATATTTCTGTGTTGCCGGCTTAAGAGGTAGGGGTGCACCTGCACCACATGTCTGTGTTGCGGGCTTAAAGCCATGGGCACACCTGCACCATATCTCTGTGCTGCAGACTTAAAGCTAGGGGCGCACCTGCACCGTATTTCTGTGTTGTGGGCTTAAAACTAGGGCCGTACCTGCACCATATTTCTGTGTTGACAAGTAGAGGATCAGGAAGAGATTCAATAAACGTTCGACATTTTTCAAATTACTCTCAGATCGCCTATTTTGACATGTCCCCCAAAGAATATGCTATTATGTTCCTAAGCACTGGAAATGAAGGACAGCTATAATGACAAATAAGGGCCATGTTGGATCAGTGCTATCACCTTAACAAATCTTCTCACTGAAACGTGAAGGTTAACCCACAGATCGATACGTATGGTGAAATCAGTATACAACCACAGATGATCAATGGACAATTAGCATATTATATAGAAATACAAAGGATTCAGTTTAGGAGACAAATGTGTGGTGGAGTTATACACAGCTGAGCACAGCGTCCGTCACCAAATGCAACCCTTTCATGTTTAGCACTCCCAGGAGTTCTGTGGACAAGACTGGGGCAGTATAGAGTGCACAGGGATTTCAGGTTTCAACTGCATGGCCCTGATGGTCATGTAAAAGGTCTAAACATGCGTGAAAGAGAGCGGTTTATCGACGTTTGCGTTACTCAACGTAGTCAGTTTGGAGTGGAAGTGTAATGGTATGGAATGGAAGTATCTCAGCATGGTTAATGGCAGTTTGACGCTACATAAACTATATCGTTCGAGACCATGGCCCATCCCTTTGTGCAAATGCATTAAGTAGCGTCACGTCATTCCTCACCACTCGCCATTCAGCTTTTCCAGAACAACATGAGTTAGTCACGATTGTTCCCCTTCCAGAGTTTTGTGGGTTTTTTTTTTTTTTGCTTGTTTAAAATGTTTGTTGTTTTTTGTTGTTGTTTTTTTGTTTTTCTTTTTTGTTGGATTTTTTTGGGGGAAGGGGGCGGGGTAAGATTTATTTGTTTTCTTGCTTTTATTT